CATTTAGTGACAAAATAATACAATCTGATGATGAACCATTACTTTTTGATGATGGAGTTAATATTATTTGTTGAGGAATTAAACACTAACCACTCAAATCTGTCTAAACAAATCCGGAGCCCCAAGGATGGCTGGTCTTTCTTGACTCATGCCATATATTTCCTATGATCGTGTCTCGTTTCCTTTCTTACAAGCCCACAAAGTCAATCATTTAAGGGGGGCTCATTCTCAGTTACCTTTTTATGGAATGGTAAGGTAATTGGGGGGAATATGGCCCTAGAAAATGAAACCAGATCGTAATGGCCCATCAAGATAAAAATTTGACTTTCACACTGTTTTTAAAGTATTGATTGATATCACTAACTCTCCTGACTCCTGATCATGTGCAATGTTACTCAAAAGCAAAAGCGTTGCAATCCTGCTTTCCACAACTGTTCTTCGTGTCAGGTAATGATGCTGTCCTCTTTGCTTGTCCTAAGTGCAGTGAGTTTTCTTCCAATTCCGGAGTATCCTTTATTATGTTTCAAGGTACTCAGCTTGTTCCAGTATATTTCACACGTTCGTGGAAAATCTGGAGTTTTTTTTTCCAGAAGTGGCCATATTCTCTCAACCATAGGGGTAATATGGCCTCTTGGGACCAACTTGAAAGAGATCCAAAGGCACCATATCCACTTTTTTAGCATATGCCTTGCTGGGATATCAATCAGGAGATATCAATCAGGAGATATCAATCAATACTTTAAAAACAGTGTGAAAGTCAAATTTTTATCTTGATGGGCCATTACGATCTGGTTTCATTTTCTAGGGCCATATTCCCCCCAATTACCTTACCATTCCATAAAAAGGTAACTGAGAATGAGCCCCCCTTAAATGATTGACTTTGTGGGCTTGTAAGAAAGGAAACGAGACACGATCATAGGAAATATATGGCATGAGTCAAGAAAGACCAGCCATCCTTGGGGCTCCGGATTTGTTTAGACAGATTTGAGTGGTTAGTGTTTAATTCCTCAACAAATAATATTAACTCCATCATCAAAAAGTAATGGTTCATCATCAGATTGTATTATTTTGTCACTAAATGAATTTACATCACCACATTCTTACTACACTCACCAAATGACGTCATCACCATACTTTTAGAACATCAAATTCCCCCGCAATATGTTCGCCAGATGCCATGAAAAAAACACCAAATTTATCGGGTTCGTACAAAATCATTGCAACTATTCACGTGTAAAAAGGGAATAACATTTTTTTTTGACGAAGCCTTCTTTGGTCTCTTCCATTCCTGTCCAACAGGCAATCTTCCTATGGAACAGGAACTTCCGATTGTGAATTAACATTCTGAGCGAATATTTGCAAATTCCAGTCCTGCTCCAAACTTGGCCTCCGCATTCGAAATGTGGAGCTTTCACAACTCATAGGGAGAGTCTTGTTCTATTCAAGTCCTCCCAACTCATCTATTTTTTTACATCAGATATTCTTGTATACTGTTCCATGCCCCTTCCTTTGTGGCGTTGCAGTCACTTCTGGCAATGAAGAAGGCCTCGCCTTGTTTCAATGTCCAAGTCGTTTCAAAGTCATTTCAAAGTCGTTAGTGGCCAGGACACTTCTAATATGTAGAGCACACAGAAACTGGGGTCGACACTGTACTCAGCCCCCAAACATGTTCACACGGACAAGACAAGTACGAGGGCTGTTCTGAAAGTTTTTAGTTAAAGGAAAAATTCCAATAATTTTGTTGAATTCTATTTATTGTTTTCCAAAGTAGTCTCCCCCAACACTAATACACTTATTCATTCTTTGAAATCATTTGCCAAAACAAGTTGAAAATGCTTCTTTTGGCAGATCCTCAAACAGGCTCGTGAATTCTGTGACGACTGCATCTGCACGCAAAAATGTCCTTCCCCGCATCTTGTTTTTTATTCTAGGAAATAAAAAAGTCGCAAGGGGCCAGGTCCGGACTGTAAGATGAATGGCTCAAAAGTTGTACACCAGATTGGTGTAAAAAGTCCAACGTCCGAGCGGCACTGTGCGCCAGTGAGTTGTCGTGGTGAAGCAGAAATCTTCGCAAGCCGCAAGTGATAAATTTAAATCGCGTCAGCCGCTTTTATAGACCGATAATAAGACTTCCGCTACCTTCGGAAACTTTCGGGAATTGATTGTTCTTTCCTCTGATGATACGAATTTTTCCATTGTGCCGTTATATATGACGTAACTAAGAACTTTCAGAGCAGCCCTCGTAACTCAAGTAGCCCCCCTCCTGTATGATATAATCATGAAGCCCCTCCAAGCATGTTACTGTCTTAAACTCTCAGCTTGCCATCACAGGTCTGACAAGAAATGAAGTGAAATCGTTTCCCTAATAGGATTGCAATCGCGAAAAATAATAATTTTGACAATGAAAGTATATATTTGTGTGGACCAATGCAAATTTGAAGATAGCAGCACCCATGATCATGCAATCTTATTTGGTGAAATAACAAATTAAAATTAGGTGACTGACTCCAATTTGGTGAAGATACATTGTGATCTGGTGGCGGAGTCAATATTTTTGCAGGCTGAAAATACTTTGCGACGAGTTTATTATTATTGGTCGGTATTTAAATATATTTCAATTGCAGTGCTCCGTTAATGTGCATATTTCTGCTTGGGACTATGTAGGTTAATATAGCACATAAAACTGCGACTTTAACTCTTGCTTCAACGTTTTGGCAGTAGTAAAAAAGGAAATACTCCTGCAAAACAACTCAGATTAATGAAATAAATGGAATGCAATGAGAGAGGGGGGAAGGGGAGAGAGCTTGGCCTGTGTCATATCCCGTTGCAGTCTATGTTCCAAGGTTACCGTTGAACAATTCGCAGAAGTTGAACCTTTCCTTCATTTCCATTCAATAAAACCGTGGTATGCCGATGATGGCTAAATTGCTACCTAGTATCCCCTTCCAAGAAAAATTGGGGGCCAGGAGAGGAAAGCGCCGCGACACGTCCAGATCTCGAGCCCTACGACCGTCTGCCCTATGAAGCACCAGTCTCCCACTAAATTACTTTTCTCGTTCTTTTCCAGCTATATCACCAATACCATGACATTGATCGGTTGGGGCAAAAATTACAACAAATCCATCGTTCTATCAGTGGAGAGACATAGACTGTCGCCTTCACAACAATTGCGTTCACGCTGCTCTGAGAAAATAATTTCTGAAAAAAATTAGAATCTTGCTTGGAATTATATTTATTTCCTGCCCTAAAACATGCTACCTCCTGCCAATTAATCTAGGCTGAGACATCCCAGTGCCAAAAAGGACTAGGAAATAATGACTCACGACCTGACCACGAGACTCATCTACGGAGCGATCTCTGCTATTGGGAATGTGAATGTCCATCCTGATGGCGCGGTGCTTCCTGCAGGTGTTCCCGTCTGCAAGTTGGCCATCGAATCATGGCATGTAGGAACTCTCCCATGGTTCTCAGCCACAAGCACCCTGGGTAAGTAACCTAAGCAAGCTAACTTGAATGAGTGCGAATATTTAACGTCGCATTTATATCATTGGATGATTTCCAAATCAGCAAATTCCAAACTTAATTCATCCAAAGTAATCGGGACCTACGAGTTCTTTTATGATTTTAATTTTGAGACTACCTCAGTTGGTCACAGAGTTTTCCCATCCTCACAGTTGCATCCTAATTCGAAAATTAATACTTAACCAAATATTGTATTTCGTCTTAATTTTTTTTGAGAACCACTAGTAATCATGACTTGGAATTATTTTGCAATAGTCATTTATTTTCATCAACACACGAGTTCATTATCTGGATTAACAAAGTGCCAAAGGAAAGACACATTCATATAGATTTGTGAAGTAATTAATATGGTCTCATAATCGTGACACATCATGATGAGAGGGAGAGAAAGATGTGGAATATACTAGAACAGAATGGGAAGAGGTTCCGCAGCCCTTTTTCTCTTTTCAGGTGGAGTAAACGTGATTAATTTATTTGTCCTTTTTTACGATAGCCGCTTCCTTTCCAATTATCCTAGAGGTACGCCATTGATATGCGTTTGGGGAAACAGCAGGATTACTCGGCGGTGGAGTACAAATAGGCGGATCCAGAAGGACGACACCATCATCCACATCTGATGTGCAGCTCATACTGGATAAGTCATTCCGAGATCCAGAGTGGGACTACGACTTCACCAATTTTCGGGACACCACGGCATTTTATCGAGGGGGTCAACGGTACTACCGTCCATGCGGATGGAAGAGGTACGCCATCAAGGTGAAAGGAGTCTACGAATCGGATGCGTGGCTTGGCCCGCCCGGAGCACGACACGAGTCTGATGTCGACGAATGGCCCGTTTCTTACCATGGAACCAGTTTCGATAATGCCAAGTCCATCGCTGCCCACAGATATCTAGTTTCCAAGGTGAAGCGCGATAAATATGGAAGAGGGATCTACTCCACACCAGATACCAATATTGCAAAGCTTTATGCTTCCACATTCAATCACGATGGCAAAACCTACCAGGCCATGCTGCAAAACCGAATCAACATGAAGAAAACTCGTTTCATCAGTCATGAGAACTACTTCGTCACAGAAGATGAGGATAGCATTCGCATGTATGGCATTCTCATTCGAGAAGTGTTGGTTCATGAGGAATATTCCTCTCGTGATTCCTGCACATTCCTCTAATGCTAGAATTTACCTGTATGCTGTGATCCTGGAATCTACTAATAAAATCAATGCATTGCATGAATAGCAAGTTTTGGAAAGCGCATTCAACAAATCTCCAAGAGTATGAGAACTTGATGCCGCTTCTACGGTTCATTTACAGGTTTTCACTTTTGCAACGTAAGTTCACCGTCTGCTTTACATTCTTTTGTCATTCTTGCAAGATGCGTTTGCAGCAAGGACGATAACGAAGAAAAAAGTTTGAGTGGAAAGTCCTGTCCACCATTTGATAGAATGTAACACCTGACCGATCAATGAGATTACAATGGGGCGTTGTCCTTCGAAAGCCAGGAAAAATGCTAATGTGATAATTTTCATTTTACTCAACAGCATCGCTCTAACAAGCTTCAGAAAAGCAGCCTTCTTTCAACCGACTCTGTGGAAATAGTGCCTTATCTTCATTTTCGAAGGGATTTATGCATTTTATTGTTAATTGACTTAAAGTTATCTTCTGAGCGACCAATTTCCAAGACGTCATGGGCCGTGGACTCATCGCCGTCGGCGGATATTTACATTGTAAGGATTTGTTTTCTAAATATGAACTACTTCGTTACACGATGCACACGATTACATGATTAATATTCGTATGCATGGACTTCTCATTCGGGAAGTTGGATTCAACAAATAGCTAAGGAGCCTAGTCAAGGAATCGCTATTTTGAAGAATTTGGTTTTTCTTGCGGTAAATTACAATTGAATAGAAATTATTGTACCAGTTAACATGAGAAGAGATTATCAAGCTTTTCAATGCTGAAGATTGTACGAAGATCAATGAACTCAGAAGTGAGATATGGAAATATAAAGTTTACTTTAGGAAAATTCAGATGCGCTGGCGAACCTCTGCAAATAGCCTAAAATAGAGAATCCGGCGAAGAAGCTTGTGAGTCACAAGTGTACGGACGGGACCTGCTGGTTCTTAAACATTCCAAAAAAGGTCAATTTTCATGTCATTTTCCGCAGATGAAAGCTTAATCTCTTCTCTTTCTAACTAGGCTGAAGGTTCAAGGTGGTTTAGTGATATCAAGAATCGATAACGCCCATTTGGATACCACATTTTGAGGTTGAACGATCCTTAATTTTAGGGCAGGTTTACTACTCTTTAAAGCTAAACATCTCTGCATTTTCGCGATTTTTGTTTTGTTTTACCAGATCCTAGTTGCTTACTGCCTATTCCCTTAGGTCAACATTGCCCCCCTTCTTCCTTATCCATAAAAGCATCCAGTCTCTTCTTTAAACATTTCACGGAAGGGGCAGCCATTACGCCATCGTCTTACGCATTCCACGCGTTCACCATCTGCAAGTAAAGAATTCCCGTCCCAACCGGAGCCGCACCTGCGGTTTGCCCAACTTGAGGCGAATAACCTTTCGGTCTCTTGCTGCCATCTTGCTACTCCCTTGCTCCTTTTCACGGCAACAGAGCATTTCTTTTCCTCCAGTTTGCAGCAGGTTTACCTGCCACTAATCACTAGTTTTTATGCCCAAGCGGGCTCCCTCGAAAGGAATCCAAATCTCCGCAATATATATATATATATAAAATAAATCCTTCCACGGCACATGCCGGTATTGGAGATATGAAGGGGGATGAACCACATCCCAGACCTCATACTCGTCTTAATTCTGAAGGACACGGCGAAGGATGCTGGCCGTGCCCAAGATTGCTGTACGCTGGAGGATATCCAGTGATATTTCACACTCTAGCTTCCTGACATGTCCTTTGAAGTCTTTCAGGACGACGCCAGTTGTGCCTATGATGATCGGAACTATGGTAGTCTTCATTCCGCACAACTGTTCCACTTTCAGTTCGGAGTATTTCTCCAGCTTCTCCCTGGTCTTCTCTTGGAGGTTGTTATCGGCTGGGATGCTCACATCTACGAGGAGGGCGGTCTTCTTCTCCTTCTTATAGATCGTGAGGTCCGGCCTATTGCAGCCTATACTGCGATCTGTAATTATCGGCATGTCCCATAGTATCTTGGTGGAGGCGTTCTCCACAACAGACTCTGGCTGGTGTTCGTACCACTTCTCTGGGACTTCCAGGCCGGCTTGCTTTGAGACACACCAGTGCACATATTTGCACACTTGGTCGTGCCTATACAAGTACTCCCTCGGGGCTAGTTCGGGGCAGGCACTGAGGAGGTGGTGAACCGTTTCGGGTGGTCCATGACAGCATCTGCAGCGGTCTTCCACATCCAGCTTCAGGATGTGCTTCTCGTAGTTACGAGTTCTAATGCACTGGTCCTGAATGGCTAGGATGTTGCTCTCTGTCTCGGCATTCAGCAGTCCCTTCTTCAGCCAGTTATAGCTGACGTCCGAGTCGATCGATGGTTTATCCATGATCTTGGGATGCTGGCCGTGAAGCGGTTTCTCCTTCCATCNCATCGACGTTGTGGCTCGCCGGGCGTTCCATGATGTTCGACCAGAATTCTTCCACTTCCGCCTTGCCAGGAATCTTCTTCACTTCTATGGGTTTCGCTCCCAGTTCCCGGTAGAATAGCTTCTGGTTATTCGTGAAGCGCTCGTTATGCCGGAAGTAATTGACCTTTTTCGTGTACCGCCTTATCCTCAGGGCCCAAGCTTGGATCTTCATCTTCACGTTCTCTATGGCGGTCGGGAGATCGGCATCGGAGGTGATCTTGTATTTGGGGCACAGCCGCTTGTAGGTCAATTTCACTTTCCGGGATGTGTTCCCCTTCTTGATCTCTTGAAGGGTACTAAGGTCTCGCCTTGCTGCATCGATCCGACTTTGGAGGCGCCTCTTCCAGGGTGGAATCGAGGAAGGGCCCTTCCCAGATTTTGGGGTCGGCTTTTCTGGTCCTTGCCATTTCTGATGGATGGTAATGGCAGCTGCAAAGGCACGGTGGTTCAGCTCAGTCAGATCGCAGTCCGCAAGGTCGCAGGAGCTGATGATCCGGTTAATCTCCTCGATGTCTTTGGAGATGGCTTCAGAGGTCTTAGTAGGGGTCGGTCGGACATCTGTAGGTACCGCAGATCTTGCAGATGGTCGAGGAAAGCGATTCTTAGTTCTTCAGAGGGCGCTTCTAGCTTTGAAGGAGCCTCAATTGCCCTCGGTGGAACTCGAAGTGGAGTTTCTTCAGGTTTTGCCTCCTCGTTTTCGGGTATACTACATTCTGGTTTGTCTGGCTGGACTTCCTGTTTGATGTTTTCCCGCTCCAGTTCTGAGAGCATGTTGTTCCGCTCGATATAGAGTCTCTGATTCGGAATGCATCCCACTACAATTAAAAGTTCCTTAAATAAGAAGCCTCCCGTTTTGCCGAGCCATCGGGAATACGTTCCCATGGTCACAATATATATATATATATATATATATATATAAGCTTGGAGCAGAAGTACGCAATAGAATGTTGATTGCATGTCCTCCTTTTCTAATATGACCCCTCAGGGCAGATTCTGATAGATCAGAAGTTAGGCGCACAAGAAAAAATGAAAGTAAATATTCCGAAGAAAATATCGGTTTGTTCTCTCTCGATGCACATTCCGACAACCACATACTTATAATACATTTTTGTCACTGTCTGTCCCAGTCCACGCAAAAGCGAGGGTTAGGGGTGCGAATCGACTCAAACGAATGCGAGAAGGTAGGGAACGTGCAACGCACCGTACAGTCACGGTCCGCAAATCACACTTTTTAGCGAGAGGTCCTGTGCATAGCTCCTTTTTTCAAGAGAAGACACTCGAACCGGACTCCGGTAATTATTAACAATGAGATGAAACCTCCTTGTAAATCCCACAGGACGAGAGGGGGAGAGAGAGGCGCGAAGAGATTTTGCTTTCGTCGTTTTCCTCAGGTTGTTCGTCGACGTTTTCGAAGAAGTGAAAGCGATGCAAACACTGACTAAAGACCGAGTCATACTGCAATTCTGCCTTTTGAACGTTGGAAGGAGCCGTCAACAGGGACGTACATGACCTTTTTAGCAATTTCGAAAATGAAAGAATGATTTAATCACGATTAATGAAAATGAACCGCCGAAGGCGCGACTAGAGTGGATTTGTTTGCCAGAAGAGAATACAATATTGCTGGTAATGGCGACTAATGGCGAAATTATCTTGAAACTGAAGGTATCTACTTTTTTCGAAGCGAATCCAGTTATTTAAGAGCGCGGCGTTGCAAATGTAACATGGTTGCCTCTCGTAGTAAGGCATAAGGCATGGGTTTTGGGAAGTTTGCCCATACGAATCCATGATGAAAGTGGTCGAAGGATACGATCCCAGGCAGGATGGATTTGATGAAGGAGACAAGGCTGCCTTCGTTATTCATGCCATTCAATAAATGGAGATTGGGTATGTTCTTGCAATGAAATGCACAATTTCAATGAAAGGCGTCCGATGGCAACCTAGACCTCAAAGTCAATTTATTTCTGGAATTTAGTCGAAATTAATCCAAATGGTATAGTCGCCAGGCATAGGAGGATCCCTTTTGATGCAGAAATCCTGGAAAATGTTCGGATCCAGGTCTTGGAAATTCGTTCCGTCGGCGCATGCACCAATCACGCTTCCTAAGAAGTCTGGATTAAGTATCAGCCAGGCGATGCTGCACCCACACTCCACGGGGTTTCCTGCAACCGAAGATAGGCCATGTGGATGACTGCATCGCAGGACATTGTGGGCAACTGGGAACTCACCATACACGTCCATCTTCCCATCACCCTGCGAGATGATCTCCACTATGGGGCGGTAGGAAGCCTCTGTCAATTCGGTTATGACATTCTCGCGAAGAACTATTCTCGTGTTGGACTGGACACCTGGAAGAAAGACGGGAAACTCGAACATTCACTGACAGAAAAAGCCATCGTCACGCGTAAGATGCACCGTATGAGATTGTCGGTTCGGGAATGAGGGCTCCGAAGACTTCCAATGTGGGTGTAAACGAGAGTTTCTACCTGCGATCGCATCCAACTCTAGAGTTGAGATGGAGTTGCCCCAGAGGTCCACATGCGATATTCTTTC